GTGGGTTGAATTTTGTGGTTGGCCGGTGCGTGTGGGTGGACAACGCCTAGTGGAACGATTTGTGGAATTCGTCAGTGAATGTAATGGTTGAGTAGGGTACCGGCGGTTGGTTACGCAATTGTAGATGGTGGCGGGATCTAATTTGGATCTGATTTGTTGCAGAAAATGGTGGTGGTGGCAGTGGAGATAGAGGTGTTGTGCCGTGGCGATGGTTGTGGTGTATGTGACCAACTATTTAGATTAACTGTGATCTTAAAAATTCGACAATTTGTGATTAAAAATTAACATGTGACTAATAAATTTGAAAATATGTGATTAAACAAACAATCATACTTTGTGACTTGTGACCTAACCTATGACTTGATTTGAGACATGTGACCCGACCTGTGACTTGTGACCTAGGCAGTAACTCTTGACTTGTGACATGAGCTGTGACTTGTGACATGGGCTGTGACTTGTGATTTGTGATTTGTGTGACCGTAAAAAAAATATGTCAAACGTACAAAAAAATATAGCGTAGTTATCGCCGGAATATTCGTCGGAGTTGGAACAACTGCCGAAATCGGAGCAGTCGCGGAAAAAATTGTCGCCGAAACGATCAACGGAATAGTCGTTGGAACGTTCACTGGAATCGGAGTAGTCGTCGGAGTAGGGCGGTGATCGGAACGATCGCCAGAGCTGTAGGAGTGTGAAGTGGGATGAGTTAATTATATTATATTAGAATTAAATATTTAATAATAAATTAATNGTGGGATAGGTTAATTATATTATATTAGAATTAAATATTTAATAATAAATTAATTTATTTCATAAATAAAAATTTAAATTTTTTTAATAAAAATCTTATTTTGGAAATTTCAAACTTGTTTTCTTATTTTTGAAATAGGTTAAATTTATTCTCTTGAATAGGTAATCTTCCCTTTCAATTGAGTCTTTAAACTTTTTTATGTTGTTTATTCAACTTCAAATTCACTATTCTGTCACATACTATAATCTATTGATGCCATAGAAGCATAAACGATAACAAAATAGGGATTAGAAAAGAAATTAACCATTTATGTAGATAATTGAAGAAATATCTTCAATGTTCGAAATCAAGAAATTGACCATAAAATCTCATTGCTCAACTAAGCACAAAATTCTGACTAGACTTTTAACTTAAGTCAATGTTTTTTGCCTTCATTTTTTTTTTTCAAACTTATTTTTTACCACTTTCTCTCAATAAAATAATTTTGCATGTGAGTCTATAATTTTTTTTTTAATAATATTTTAACCATACATTCTTAAAAAAGCAGTTTTCACAAAATATATTCTCAAAAAATCTCTATCAAACATGGCTAAAACAAACTCTGAAAACTTATCTATTTGAGAAAAAATAATATACATTCCCTCGCATTTCAAAAATATCATTACCATTTTTTTTCTATCCTTAAAATACCATTGCGAGTAAAAAAAATGAAACGAGAAGTTGCAATTTAAGTTGTTCAAAGTAATCTACAAGAATATAAATTAACATGTTTTATACAAAAGTTCATTTGACTTAGTTTAAATTTTAATTACATAAATTTATTCTCTTTTTTTGATGATGCATTATATAAAATGGTCATTACGTTAAGGATGACAATTTGTCCCACCAAACTCATGCCTCACAAATGAAAGTCTCAAATGAAATTGAATCTAAAAAATTCTGGTTTGATATAATTATCACTAATATAAATGATAAGTCTTTCTACATAGCCCTTGATTGGTTTAAATAATAATCATATTGATAGTAGATTTTGATAAAAGTTGTAGATTCTTACATAGTTAAAATTAAGTATTGAATAATTGAATTTTAATCCACTTGGAAGCAAACATCTTTCAACACATTTACATGAATTCTACGTACTACTCCTTCCATACATTAACAGAAATATTTGGGCTTCAGAAAAGGATTTTTATTTGTCCCACGTTGAAATAATATCAATCATATTATTGAATGTAGGTATATAAATTGGATAATTCTTCTAATACATTAGGGGTGCCATAATGGACACATGGCACCCCACCATTGGAGAGTGTGTTGGCCACCAACACACTCTCCAATGGTGAGGTGCTAATGGACAGGGCCAACAAACTCTCAAATGGTGGGGTGTCATGTGTCAATTATGTACACCATTATGATACCCCTAATGTACTTGTAGCACTTCCCTATAAATAACGTAGTTTGTTTTATATTTTTGTATCTTAATTGTTCAATTGTTTATTTTTCTAAATAAAAATAAATACTGAATACTTTTAACATTTAAAATATAGCAATTAAGAAATAAAAAACAACCCCTATCTCGAAATAGCCCTTCTGCTCCGATGGTACGGGGCATACCGCCCAGTACCAAAAATATGAGAACATAACAATTTTGTCAAGCTGTTACTTCATTTTGGTTTGGTAGGGGGTGAAATGCTTGATCTCTCGAAGAGCTTGAGCCTTCTTGTTCAACTCCAAATGTGTCTCTAATGACTACCAATATAGCCTTGTAACTTTGGATAGGGTTTCCACCTCAAGTCGCAGTGACTAGCTTGCTTCGTCTTGTTCACTATTAAATTCAATTTCTCCAGTAATCTTGGCCTTCAATAGCCAGCAAAATCGTAAATCTCATCCACTACTTTCCGTCGATGAAGACAGCGTTGGGAGTAGGATTCCGATTGCTATCAGCGTGAGAATTGAGATAGAGAGAGAGAGGTATGGAGAGTGGAGATGAAATGCAGGCTGCCACGTGTGTGTGAGAGAGGAGGAGATCGAGTTGGGTATTGAGAGATATAGAGAGAGAAATGAGAGGGGAGAGTAATTGTGGTTTGTAATGAATTTTGGTGGTATTATTAATATTATATATTTGAATTAATATCTGATTTTTGGCGAGGTGATGGTGCTATTGGCAATTTTTGGACACATTATTTATTAATTTGTGATCGATAAATAACTTGTGACTAATTAAATTGATAATTTGTGACATGTAAAATTTTTGATTATATGATCGATAAATAAATTGTGATATATAAAAAATTTTATTTGTGATTGAATAATAATTTGTGACCAATTAATTTGATAATATGTGATCGAAAAATAAACAGTGACCTACAAATATTGTAACCGTGACCATAAATTGTATAATCAATACATTTAGTTCATAAAATATATTTTCAAATTAACTATTTCTTAAATAAATTTTAATTAATATTTAATTTTTGAAATTTTAAACAATGTTTCTTAATTTTAAAACGTGTCATAATTAATCTCTGAATTTTTCCCTTCATATTACGTGCTTTATATCTTTTGGGCCATTGAGTGGATTTTTGGTCTTTCAATCTTTAGCCCAGTAGTACAATTTCTGTATTATATTTTAATAAGGGAAAAAATCATAAAGTAAGAGAAAAAGTATCCCCTATTTCAAAATTAGGAAAACAAGTTTGGAATTTCAAAAATCAAAACTACTTGAGCCTCAATATCTTGGACTTTGAGTGCGTATAAGACAGAAAGAGAGTGGCCGAACAAACTTACTTAGCCTTCGAGATGTTTTGACTTGATTAATTCAAGATTCGAAGTGTCATAATTTAAATCATTTGAGGTTCATCGTGTCATATAAAAATTCTCTACCCAATTATATGAAGAGAATATTAAATTATTAGTGGCCTTGAACAAGCCCCTTATCTTTCCAAATGTACAATTTGTGGTGTGAAAACACACACATAAATACTATTTAAGGTTAGAAATTGAAATGGGATTGCAATAGGGTCCATACCTCCTCAAGGTTCCAATCCACCCCACAGCCTCAATCCCATCATCCTTTACCAAGCCATCATCTGATGCCACGTGGCAAATCAGATATCCAAACTGCAACACATTTCAACCAAGCTTCTCCGTTCCTACACTGATCACAAACACCATACCTCATCACTAACAGTTTTCACAAATTTTCAGCATTGGTCCTCAATCAATTGTCTAAACAGCAAACCGATCTTCGACCTCTAAAAATATTTATCTTAGATATTCAGTCTTTCAAAGACTGAAAGTTGTTTCAGCCCCTATTTGATTTAGATAAAAATTAGATTTTTAGTAGATTTAGATAAATATATAATTGAAATATTGATAAAAGTTGTAAATTCCTTAAAATAATTAAAAATGAGTACATAAAAATGAGTTTTTAAAAATAAGGACCAAATCTAGTCTATATATATACTATATTTTAAGGGAAATGTTATGTATTTCCCATAATGGATACTCTTATGTACTGTGCTATGTATATCACAACTCATATTTTAAATTATTATACATTTCTCATGAAAACAAGTCTCACAACAAATTATTTTCGAGCCTTTTCTAGGTTGGAAAATAGATTTTGCTTTCATAAGATATGAGGATTCACATGATGATTTAACGAGATATATATATGTACAATTTTTTACTCTCGTGTATTGTTGTGTAACTGTAATGAAAGATTGATAATGAATTTGTCATTATTTAAAAAAAAAAAAAAAAACAGAGAAGAAAATAAAAGGAGAAATATTTATTGGGAGAGGAACTCAATTTACAACTATGCCCCCGTTTGGCACCCATTAATTTCTCATTCTCATTTTCATTCTCATTCTCATTCTTCATTTCAATCACACATCTCCAAATAAAATAATATTACACACAAATCAAAAACTTTTCATCACTTTTTCACCACACATTCTCACATCAATCACTATTTTAAAATTTCTATTCTCCTCAAAATTAGATTCAAACACCCCCTATATCCTTCATGAAAATTGAAAATTTTAAGCATGTCCAAAACAAAAGGGTAGTCACAGAATCCCATAAACAGTGACAACATCAAATTGAACAACTTCCTATCCAAACAAAACTGCCTTCTCACATTCTGTGTCTCACATTTTTTCCATAATTTGTACAGATAATTAAAAAATCCCACAGTTCATGTCTCAATAATATACCATTACACACCATTTCTTGGAGTAGAGAGAAAATGGCAGTTTCCACAGTGCACACAGTTCAATCTCTCAGCTCTACTTGTTCAATCTCAAATCCCACAAAATCCCACCTAGGATTCAACCAAAAACAGCTAGTTTTCTTCAAGAAAACCACCACCACCACCAGAAGAGCCACCACTGTAATAACATGCTCCGCCGGGGACACGGTGGTGATTGGCTTAGCTGCAGACTCGGGCTGTGGGAAAAGCACCTTCATGCGGCGGTTGACGAGTGTCTTCGGCGGCGCAGCGGAGCCACCCAAGGGTGGCAACCCTGACTCAAACACTCTGATTAGTGACACCACTACTGTGATTTGTTTGGATGATTATCATTCACTGGATAGAACTGGGAGAAAAGAGAAGGGAGTTACTGCACTTGATCCAAGAGCAAATAATTTTGATCTTATGTACGAACAGGTTAAGGCGATTAAAAGTGGTGTTGCTGTGGAGAAACCTATCTATAATCATGTCACCGGTTTAATTGACCCTCCCGAGTTGATCAAGCCTCCCAAGATTTTTGTTATTGAAGGATTGCACCCAATGTAAGTATTGTGTGTCGTTGAACCATCTATTGTTTTGCAAAAGTAGATTCTATTGTTCGAATTTTGATATAAGGTCCCACGCGTACAAGTTTTATTAATAAATTATAAGACTGATAAGCATCATTTGGAAACAATGTTAAGTAAGATAAGTTACTTATTATGAAAGTGTGTTTATTTTACTCTTAACGTTGATCAATTATGAAATTATTTATTGTATAAGTAAAAACTTTTAGGCTTATCCAAATTTGCTTTAATGAATCACTTGCTTGAGCTCTTAGAGAGCGTCGAATGCATTTTCGGTAAGCTGGATTAAATAAGATAAAAAATGACTATGATTTCCTTTTTATATAATATTTTTTTTGTGGTATTTATAATTTTATGATGTATTTAATATGCTTTATTGCTCTAAAAGTAGGTTGATTATCTACTAATATTCTTGCATTTAAAGAGGGAGTAGATAGTGATATGCTTTAATTTTTCTTGGTCATTAATTTTTTATAGTTATTTTGAAATAAAAGATGAATGGTTAACCTTAATCCTGTTTGTTGTAGATTAAAGTCAGATTTTTAGTAAATTTTGATAAAAGTTGATGGAATACGTGTTTGAAAAGTTGTAGGCCCACGAAATGTGTGATTAGAATTAATTATTGATTTTGACTTGAGGTTAAAATTCAGATTTTAATTTGTTCCATACAGGGGCTAAGTATAGTAATATCTTCCGTTGACCCACGTGTCATGCTACGAGTCTAGCACACCTTTTGTCTTAATTATTCATTATTTAGATCATCTAGGTCAAAATTATTTTTTTTCTTTTTCAAAATATAAACATACTCGCATCCTTTATTTTATTCTCCCAATGGAGAGGCTAAAAGATAGGAGTAATAAATTGAAATTAACATGATTGTGCATTAAGCCCCTGTTTAACATCCATTTTGGAGAAGAATTTGATTTGGAATAATGATTGATTGAAGAATGTGTGGTTAAAAAGTAAGGAGAATTTTTGGATTTATGTGTAATATTATTTTATTGATAGAATGTGTGGTTGAAATGAAGAAAGAGAAAAAAAATAAGAAAAAAATGGATGTCAAACAAGGGCTAACTCTTTTAGCGCTAGATGAAATGGAGTTTAATTATATTATTCACTTTTCTCCTCTACCAGGACTTGACTTTTGCAGCGAGGTTGATGAGGCTCAGTTCCCTCGAGGCAAAATTTTAATGTTTTTCAGTATAATGGATAGATGGAATATGGATTAAGTCACCACACGTAATTCCTTCCTATATAAATGGTATTATAACGAACCATTTTAAGGAAACATAGAGACTTGAGTTAGGATTTTTTCATTATAGTGAAGCTACATGTGAATTGCATACTCATTTTTGTATTTTCTTGTGTTTCTTCTTGTTATTGCTCTCGGGACTAAGTGTTTTATTCATAGCGAGTAGATTATATGGTTTTGTGATACAAAAGAATTACTTCAATCGAGATCAAATATATCCACAATAAAATCAAATTTGTGATGACGATTTTTATTTTTTGTGTGGACGCATAGGTACGATGCCCGAGTGAGAGAACTCTTGGACTTTAGTATCTATTTGGACATTAGCAACGAGGTTAAATTCGCATGGAAAATTCAGGTAATTTGATTTCCTAGAATTAAAGATGAAACCACTGATTACTCAATCTTATTTTTTGTTTTTCTGGGAAACTAGGGAAATGCTTTCAATATGATCGTAATTATGTTTCAAACCGTCGATATCGAGGTCAAGAAGGAATTTAGATATTCAACTCTTTGATAGGATAGTAATCATTATTTTGTCGTTGAGGCGGCTAACTCAATCATCATGAATATTCCAAATGCAGAGGGACATGGCTGAGAGAGGACACAGTCTCGAAAGCATTAAAGCTAGTATTGAAGCAAGGAAGCCAGATTTTGATGCTTACATTGGTAATCCTTCTTGCCTAACTCCAAAGACACGAACGTACAGACATAGATGTAGACACGCGTTGAACTGTGGTTATCGCCTAGACCTCAGATCGGCATCTGCAATAAGGCCTAGGACATTAGTCCCCAAGGCGAGTTTTTTTATTAGAGGGATATAAAAACTGGGTTTCCAAGCCGTTGTATCTGCCTTCACAGTAGCTTAAACCCTTATATATTGATGTGGGATTTTTATACTTAGCAATGGAATACATTCAACATTGATACATGTACGAGGTTGTCCTAAAGTCTTACTATATGCCTTTTCGTGGCTAGAAAGGTGTGAGGAGAATCTACACGTTTTTCTCTTGTAAAAATTAGAGATTAGGGCTTAATTCGTGACAACGCAGACGTCCAAATGCACATGTATTCGATAAAGTCGAATTTTGATATCTCTTTCATTGTGCAGATCCACAAAAGCAATATGCAGATGCAGTTATTGAAGTGTTGCCAACAGAACTCATTCCTGATGACAATGAAGGGAAGGTCTTAAGAGTAAGATTGATAATGAAAGAAGGGGTGAAATATTTTAACCCTGTTTACCTCTTTGACGAAGGTTCCACCATTTCATGGATACCTTGTGGAAGGAAGTTGACATGTTCTTATCCTGGCATCAAATTCTCTTACGGCCCCGAAACATACTTCGGGCACGAGGTATGCCTAATTCGATACTCCAATCTCATTAAGCTGATCATTGTGCTTTTGTATGTATTGAACAAAATGGAAAGTAGGATTGAGCGAGAATCAAGTAAAATGTTCATAAACTTAGTGAACAAATATAGAGGGAACGTCTATATGACGAGCAATTGAGCTCTTGATCTTGGAAACTCGAACTGCATTTGTAGATAGGGACTTATTCGCTAATCAACTGAAGAACATGTTTGTCTAAACTCAAGAAAAAATAAAGTTATCATTAACTTTTTTCTCTAAACACGTTTGAATACTTGAGTTTAACTGACTTATTCGGCATAATTCCTTGACTGCTCATTTCCTTCTTTTTATGCAGGTGTCGGTGTTGGAGATGGACGGGCAGTTCGACAGACTAGATGAACTGATCTACATAGAAAGCCATCTGAGCAGCATTTCGACCAAGTTCTATGGAGAAGTCACACAACAAATGTTGAAGCATGCGGATTTCCCGGGCAGCAACAATGGCACGGGACTCTTCCAAACTATCGTTGGTTTGAAAATCAGAGACCTCTATGAGCAGATAGTTGCTAGCAAAAGTGGAGCTCCATTGGAAGCTACAAAGACATAAGAGATTCCTATGGCGCATGTTTGGTAAGGTGCAATTGGAGACTGTGATGATGAGATTCTAAATTATTTTTCTTCTTTAATATTGCCCAATATTATGTAATCCACCGACCAAAAATGTCAAAGCATTCTTGAGAGAGACTAAATCGTGTAAAATTTTCTCCTTGTTCATTAACATTTTTCCTGAATATTTTCTCTAGATTTTTCCTATTTAGACAAATCCTCAGGTGTTTCGTTGTTCATTGGAGCAGCAGAAGCGGCATTGCACAAGGCAGAAGCCACCTTGCTTCGTCGAGGAAGTCGAAAGGATGTTTCATTGTTATTTCAGCAGTGATATTATACTTAATGCTTGCATTCTTGCTGGCTTTCGCTTTGTTCAGAATTCAATCTATCAATGACAGAGTTTATTTCCCCAAATCGTATATTAGTGGCAAGAGGACTAATCTCAGGAGCGGTGGAGGTGTAGGAAAATTTGTCAATCTCAATTTCAAGACTTATCTCAATTAGATGCCTCAAGTATTGAAAATGTCGGGATAATCAAATATTTTATTCCAAGAAAAAAATCTACTTGGAGTCAAGTGTCTGAGTTCTATTATATGTTATCTTTACCAAAACAAAGAATTTGTTTGGAACAAAAAATTAACTGGTGACACAGATAATGGTCTAGATGGTTTCTCGTAAAGAAGTTAACAATATTATCCGATATTGCATCAAATATAAATAGCTAAATAACAAATATACTTCAGAAGTTTGACTTTAATTGGGTAAAGTGGTAAATTGATTAAAAAAATTTACCTCCTTTTTAGACTTAAAAAGCCTTCCTCTTGATTTTTGAATTAAGGGTAAAAGAATAATCAACTTTTTAAAATATAAAGTCAACGTCTAATTTTTCATTTACTATTCATCCCAAAACACACGTCTCTTAACTTCTTCTTCAACAAACTAGGGTTTAGCCTCTTCGTGAGTCGCTTTATTACATTACACCACAACAACCCAAAGTTTGGTAGCACTTCACCGCCTATTTCACAAATCAACACGCCTTCTTCTTCTTTTTCTCCTTTGTAAGGGCACCTGCCATGGGTCGATGATGTGTCGGAGACATACTGATCTCCGATACGTGTTAGACACTAATATGTAGTCACCGACAACATGTCGGTGCTTTAAAGGGGAGAGCTATGATCCATTGGAGATTGGCTCAGAATGTGAATCTAGCTTTTATCGATTCTGACTTCAACTGACTCGACTCCTTCAAATGAGTTAAAAATTGGATGTAAGCATGCATCAACAAAGTAAGATTTTAAATTGGCATCAAATTCAGCAGTACGATCTTCCACGTCCTTGTTCATAACTTTCTGAAGAGTTCAAGGGTAGAAAGAGATAATTACCAGTCAGGATCCAAAGACTTAACAATCAATCATCGGCCTAAGAAAATGAGCAGTCGTCTCCAACAACCTTCCAGATTTGCCAATGATTGTACAACCACAAAATGGGATTCTTACTTTGTTGTCTGAGTTCTATTATATGTTATCTCTATCAAAACAAAATATTTGTGTGGAACAAAAATTACCCAGTGACACAGATATTCGTATGGGTGGTTTTTCTTAAAGAAGTCATCAATACTATTCGATATTGCATCAAATATAAATAGTTAAATAACAAATATACTTTAGAAGTTTGATTTTAATTGGGAAAAGTGGTAAATTGGTTAAAAAAGTTTTTTTTTCTCCTTTTAAGACTTAAAAAGTCTTCCTTTTGATTTTTGAATTTTACCCTCAACTTATTAAAAGATATAGTCAATATTTAATTTTTCATTCACAATTCATCCCAAAAACACACGACTCTTCACTTCTTCAACAAACTAGGGTTTAACCTCTTCATTTTTTCGGTTGCTTCATTCCACTACAATAGCCTAAAGTTTGGTAACACTTTACCACCTATTTCACGAATCAACCCACTTTTTTCTTCTTTTTCTTCTTCAGTTCTTCTTTGTAAGGGCCGTCGAAGGGCCCCCGATAGAGTCGACGATGTGTCGAAGACATATCGATGTCTGATACGTGTCGGACACTGATACATAGTCACCGACAGCGTGTCGGTGCTTCAAAGGGGAAAGCTATGATCCCTTGGAGATGAACTTGGAATGTGAATATGCCTTTTATCGATTCTGAACTCAACTGACTTAATTACTCATGCAGATTTTTAGAAGTATGTATTAGCAAAGTAACGGTGATTCTGCTGTATTCCTACGAATTATTTAGGATAAATGTTTGATATCGATAGCTTAACGAGGATGTTGAAAACCAAGTTAGGACGCCCAAAGTCTAAAGCTCCACTAGATACATTAACTGGTATAAGAATCAAGAGTGCCATTGTGGCTATTGGTCCAAATATTTTCAAGCTGTCGAACAAAAGAAAACGACTAAGTTAACCTAAAAGAGTGATTTATGAGAGAAATATAAAATAATCTTCAAGATAAATTCTATTGGAGTTAGAATTGTCCAAAGTAAAATAAAAAATTAAGAAGAAAGTTGAAAATTGAAAAATTTCTAGTACCCAAGAGTAAAAATCTACACGAGTACAGCAAAATCAAGCGCAGCATGGCTAATAATCTCATCGTCGCTCATTTTCAAAATTCGTGGCATCCAATTGAGAAAATTGAGTCCCACCATAGCTCCTGGGATTAGTCCTCCCGCCATTAATATACCATTTGAGGAAGTAAAATCTTTCATTGATGGGCTGAATTCTGAACAAAACAAAAGCCAACAAGAATGCAAAAGCACTAAGTAAATTTATCAAAGCATACACCGTTATATCTTTCTAAGTTGCCATTTTTTATTGAATTGAAGAGAATTGAAATTGTTGGAATTAATTGATAAAGTGTTAAATAATTAAATGTGATATTTAATTATGTGGGCCATTGTAATTAATTTGGGTGAATTGGAAAAGTCTCCAATATAGGTCCATAAGTTAATAAGCCCAATTTTAAGTGTCTTATATATGGTAAGTAATCCCACATCGAAAGTTTACAAGAAAAAAGACTTGTTTATATAGTGGAATGTGTGTACAAGTTATAATTTAATAAGTGGTCTATAACTTAGCTAACTTTGGCTAGCCAAAGACTAGCTAACTAGCCACCACTAGAGTGGTGCTTCGCACCACTCGCGCCCCGTCCCGGTCCCGGCCTCGGCCCGCGCACGTTGCAAAGTTCGCATTGGGAGCTTTAGAGGCGCACTTTGCACTTCGCAAGGAGCTGTGGAGCCTTAAAGTTTTCAGAAATGGACTCATGGTTCGATGACATGGCATCAGGAAGCTCGATGAGTTGGCAACCTAGGTGGCACACACGTCACTTAGTCCTGCGTGGCAGTTGGTTTAGTTGGACGTACAGATGGCATCTGCATGGCTGGTGACTGTTCAGAAATTGGTGAATAGGCATGATGAATGGACACCACACTTCGTGGTTTAATCTGGTCCGTCAGATCATGAAACAGTGCGATCCAATGGCTAGAACATATCAGACCAAGTGGTGCACTAGTTCGTGAAATGTTACACACTCATTCAATGAGACACTTCAATCTCTATAAATAGAGACCTTCAGATTCGTTTTTTGTACACCAAATCAATTAATATATTCTTGATTTTTTAAATTCGTTCTCTCTCCATATTCTGCGTAAATTCCTACGATATTTTCATTGTTATTCCGTTTAAGTACGTTCATTCTTTGGTTCGACCGACAATGTTGGTATTGTGTAATATCGACTTTGGAAGAAGCGTTGTATCTTGGGAGACAGACGTCCATAATCCCGTTTGCACGTTGTTGGGGGGCGAAATCTGTCTTAAAGAGATTTGCCTTGGCATACCTCGCTTCATCTTCTATTTTTATTTCCTATTATTTTCTTTATTCTTTTGATTGCGGTAGTCGAATTTCCGACAACAGAAATTGGTCGTGATTGTGTAATGAGTGAAGCTCAATTTGATGATGAGAACTCACTCAAAATAAATATCTTATTCCAGGGATCTGCAATCACGAGATGAGAGAATGGTAGAGATTGAGAATGGGTTTTACCTTTTTTCTTTAAATTGATGAGAATGGTAGACTTAGAAAGCCTTCCTCTTGATTTTTGAATCAAGGGTAAAAGAGTAATCAACTTGTTAAAATATAAAGTCAACGTTTAATTTTTCATTTACTATTCATCCCAAAACACACACGTCTCTTAACTTCTTCTTCAACAAACTAGGGTTTTGTCTCTTCGTTTTCTCAGTCGCATTATTACATTACACCACAACAACCCAAAGTTTGGTAGCACTTCACCGCCTATTTCACAAATCAACATGCCTTCTTCATCTTTTTCTTCTTCAGTTCTCCTTCGTAAGGGCCCTCGACATGGGTCGATGATGTGTCAGAGACATACTGATCTCCGATACATGTTAGACACTAATATGTAGTCACCGACAACATGTCGGTGCTTCAAATGGGAGAGCTATGATCCATTGGAGATGGGCTCGGAATGTGAATCTAGCTTTTATCGATTCTGACTTCAACTGACTCGACTTCTTCAAATGAGTTAAAAATTGGATGTGAGCATACATCAACAAAGTAAGATTTTAAATTGGCATCTAATTCAGCAGCACGATCTTCCATGTCATTGTTCGTAGTTTCCTGAAGAGTTCAAGAGTAGAAGAAGATAATTACCAATCAGGATCGAAAGACTTAACAATCAAACATCAGCCTAAGAAAAGGAGCAGTCGTCTCCAACAACCTTCCAGATTTGCCAATGATTGTACAAAAGCAATTGGGATCATGTAAAAGAATACCAACACAAACACCGCTATTAATATGAAAAGTTTTCTAATGATAAGAGAAACAAATGGTATTGGCAGATTCTTCCAGTATACATCTCGGGTTCGAGGGTCCAATTTTTTAACCACGGAATATGATTCTTACTCTATTGTCTGAGTTCTATTATATGTTATCTCTATCAAAACAAAATATTTGCATGGAACAAAAAT